TAATTTACTTGTGACTTCTATTCAGTAACTATGTTAACCACTACCTGCCAGGGGACCCGTTTTCGAGTGCATAGGCTTTATATGCAGAGCCAGGGAGCCCGGACCAGGGACAAAAGAGTTGGGCCTTGTAACAAAAGACCGTGCTCAGCACAAAAGACTGAGCTGCTGGGCATTACGGACATTTTTTGTTCTCAGTAGTGGAGATAATCCAGCCATGTTTTGAAACAGTATACCACGGTTTGAGGCATTTAGAGTGAGTGGATTACTACCGGGGACAAAAGCTCTGCAGCGATGAGCCACACAGCACTGCTGCACGCTAATCTGGCCCCTATTGAAAAGAGGTCAGTAGTGCACTTTGTTGGTTTCAGGAACAAAAGAATCTTACATAACAGCGTACGATCTGGGCTCTTTTTCCAAGGCTACTGGCCTGGCTGAAATATTCAGGAGTCAATGAATTTTACCTGTCAGCTTTAGAATAGTGCCCAAAGAGTCCTTCATTTTGGTATAAACGGCCATTAAATGAAATGATGAATTTTTGAAGAATTTGAAAACTGAAAATCTTGAAAATGACCTGGCATCTTGCCTTGCTCAAGAAAAATCCACCCAGCAGCAAGTGGTTAATATAGTAGATTTGTAGAGTATAAAAACCCTGAAAGTGTGTTGAGAAGTAGAGTTGGAACATTGCGAGTCTGATGAGACCAGTTTCAATGCTTTGAGCCTGTGAAGTGTTTCCGTGTTGAGAAAATACTTGATTTGTGAAGTATTTTGCTGCGGTGAAATACTTGTTAGCAAACAGGAGGATTATCCTCACCAACTCCTTGTTTGGCTTTGAGGAGCTTTGCATGAGGCGAAGGGCCACCAACCGAGAATTTGCGGTTTGGCAGGTGGCATTCATGGCCAAGCGAGGCTGGAGTTGGCTTTCGAAAAGAAATTCCTGTCGTTAAGGGGTTAAGTCTGAATTGTCTGTGCACTTGGGCCAGGATGATTGCTTCGAGTTTGGTTCTGGAGACTCAAAATTCAGTGCTACTAACACTGACTAAAAACATCTCGCGACAAGTTAAGAAGATACTTTTACTAGTATAGTTGAACCCTGTTATAAAGAGGTCCTTGGGACTTTGTCTATTACCTTATTATAAAGGAACCTTGTATTTACTTTAGTACTTGTAAAAAAAAACCAGTAAAAACAAAGAAATGGGACCTAAACATTTCCTTAATATGTTAGCCGAATCTTGTTTTAACAGTTCTTTTGTTAACAAGGTTGGACTGCATTTTAAAAATTGAACACAAGGCTCACTTCGGACCTGTTGAGCTACTTCTTTTTACGTGGCACAATTCTGACATTGCACACATCAATAGCTCGTTTTCCATGTGATGACATGCACTTGGTTACAGGTACATGTAATAAAATTGTACACGATGCTCGTGGGCAGTAGGCCTATATCGGCTCAACCATTTTCAGAAATGGGGTGTGAATACCTTGCGTTAATTGCACAATAATGCACTTCACATGCACACAGTAGGCAGCGGTTGTGATGTCCCACCTCATTCACGTGTGCAATGGGTCCAGCCGATACACCAAGATTGAGTGCTGCAAGCCAAGAATTGTTTATGCACAGTACTGTACATGTACATGTATACATATACATGTTGGTGTACATGAATGAAGCATTTAAATAGACACACGTAGGTGCCGTGTTCATGTTATCACGTGAAAAATGAGTGGTTAGTGTGTTAAACTAAAACGTCTGATTTTTTGTAAAAATGTGCCCTTCTTGTTCTAAAAACCATCTTTGACAATTTTGAAGGAGAGCGGTTGCAGTAGGACAGCTTTTTGACGGGACAATTTGGTAGAGAAGGTGTAATTCCATGATCAAGTAATCTGCCTAGCCTATCATTCAACTTCAGCTTCAAGCATGGAGGAAAAGTTTGCTTTGGCCGGTCTCAAAACATGCAAAAGTTCTGCACAAGAAAGAGACTTCTAGTAGGCCTAGTTTCTAGAAATTTTTAAATACTTTAGCTGTGATTTTTTGCAACCGACTCAAAACTGATGTCAGTACACGCTGTTGGCATGTGGAAGAGGGAAGCATGTTCCCACAGTTGTTTGTTCAGAGAACTAGGCCATGTCAAAATTCATTGGCTTTTGCCTGAAATTATGCAGGCACTGTACCTACCGGTATGGTAGCCACTACCAATCCTGCTGCTTAATTTTCCGTTTGTTTGTGCATGCAGCCGCAGCCGCAGCTAATAATTTGGATGAGGCAGTGTGTGATTAATCAGTAGTGCTGTTCGTTTTACTACACTTTTCTTAAA